CCCCGGGCGAAGCGGGGGTGGGCAGCGGGGGGCGGGGGTTCGGGGGCTCAGCGGGGCCGCTGCCGGTAGTTGCCGTTGATCTCCGGGGAGATGGTGACGGCCTCGGCGCCCAGCGGCAGCTTGTCGCTGTACTCGGAGCGCACCTCGAACTCCTCGGCGCCGCCCTTGGACTGCGACTCCGCCATGGAGCTGGCGGCCACGCTCTCCTCCCGCTCCAGCTCCGCCGCACCTTCCCCCTCCCTCCCGCGCCGCCACCGCGCTCCTTCTTCATCCCCCGCCTCCTCCTCCTCCTCCTCCTCCTCGGCCTCGGCCTCGCCGGGACCGAAGTTCTTCTCGGACTCCAGGTAGGAGGCGCGGGGGTCGAAGTCGGCGGCCATGCGCTTCTCCATCTGGTCAGGGTTCTGCGCCTTCATGATCAGCTTGTAGGGCTTGGCCTGCAGCTTGGCGAGCAGGTGGCACCACGTGGCGCCCAGCAGCGGCAGCGTGGCCAGCAGCAGCAGGAAGATGCTGACCACCACGATGATGATGAGCGACGGGATCTCCTTCTTGGTGGTGAACACCACCTGCACCCGGCACTCCTCGCCCGGCGAGCTCAGGCACACCGAGTAGTTGGTGCCGGGGCTCAGGCCCTGGAACCAGTACGAGTTCACGCCGGCCTCGATCTGCGACCACTGCAGCAGGGCGTGGCCCTGGCGGCCCTGCTGGCACAGGTAGAGCACGCCCAGGTGGCCCCCGCCGGGCTGGGTGGGCGTCAGCTGCACGCGGGCGTCGCGCTCGGCCACGTCCAGGGCGATGACGCCCAGCTCGAAGCTGTGCCGCTTGAAGTCGCCGCTCTGGTTGAAGGCGTGGTTGGAGATGTACTTGGAGCCGCCCGCCGAGGCCCCGCACTTCTTCTCCAGGCCCGGCGGCTCCAACGGGACCCGGCCCCGGCCCTCAGGCTCCGGCCCCGCCGCCGAGCCGGGCCGGCTCTGCCGGGTGGGGCCCAGCGCTTTGCCCCTCTCCTCCGGGGTCAGCACGCTGTTCTTGGCCGCCTCGGCATCGGGTTTCTTGTCGCCCGCCTGCCCCTTGCCGCCCAGCGGGTCCCCTCCGGGCGCCGGCGGGTATTTCTGCGCGCCCGCCACCGCCACGTTGACCGAGGAGTGGTTGCTGCCCACCTCGTTGGTGGCCACGCAGGTGTAGGTGCCCTCCTCGCGCTTGCTCAGGTGCGGGATCACCAAGGTGCCGTTCTTGAACGCCACGAAGCGCTCGGGCTCCGGCCGCGGCTCCTCCTTGGCCGCGCTCTCCGGGCCGCTCCCACCGAGCTCCAGGCTCTGGCCGGCCGTGCGGATCTTCCAGCGCAGCTCGGGCGGCGGCGAGCCGCTGGCGGCGCAGTGCAGGCTCAGCGTGAAGCCGTCGGGCAGCTCGGCCGCGTCCAGCTCGGGCGAGTAGGTGATGCTGACGGCGGGCGCGGCGCAGCGCAGCTCGGGCAGCTTGGCCAGCGGCACCCCGCGCAGGCGCTCGGGCAGCGCGCAGGCGATGGAGTCCTTCTCGGGGATGGAGATGAGCGTGCTCTCCATCCAGCGCTTCAGCCAGCGCAGCGCGCAGGAGCACTCGAAGGGGTTGTTGTAGATCTGCAGGTGCGACAGCGAGCCCAGCGAGTCGAAGATGCCCTCGGCCAGCGTGGCGAAGCGGTTGTTGTTGATGCGCAGCGAGCGCAGGTCCTTGAGCGTGCGGAAGGCGTCGGGCGGCACCAGCGCCATGCGGTTGTTGTTCATCTTGAGCAGCTGCAGCGCGCTCAGGTTGCGCAGGTCCCGCCAGGGGAACTCCACGATCTGGTTGTGGCTGATGTCCAGGTTCTTGAGCTGCGCCAGCACGGCCAGCGCGCCGGGCTCGATGGTGGCGATCTCGTTGTGCGCCAGCCACAGCGAGCTCACCTGGGTCACCTCGGCGAAGGCGCCGCGGGGCAGCGAGCTGATCTTGTTGGCCGACAGGCTCAGGGTGGTCACGTTGGAGGGCAACCCCGCGGGCACGGCCTGCAGCTCCTTGTAGGCGCAGTCGGCGAACTGGTGCGCGTACTTGTCCACGCAAGCGCACGGCTCCGGGCACGCCCGGCCCGAGCCCAGCAGGGCCGCCAGCAGCAGCGCCAGCAGCGGGGCCATGTCCCCCTGGCAGGGGACAGCGCGGGGCTCAGCGCCAGCGCGCCCCGGCCCCGCCCGGCGGCGGGAGGTGGAGGCGGCGGGGCCGCGCCCCATTGTCTGTGCCCGGCTCCCCCCGGCTGCCGCCCGCTGCCTCCCGCGCATCCCCTGCTCGCCCTCTCCCCCGCTTTCCTCCCCTTCCCGGCGGCTCTTCCCACTCTTCTCGCTCTCTTTTTCTCGGCTCAGTCAGGTTTTTCTTCCCTCCTTCCCTGGCCGGCTCTTCCCACCCTTCTCACTCTCTATTTCTCGGCTCAATCAGGTTTTTCCTTCTCCCTTTCCCACCCTTCTCACTCTCTATTTCCCGGCTCAATTAAGGTTTTCCTTCCCTCTCCCCTGGCCGGTTCTTCCCACCCTTCTCACTCTCTATTTCTCGGCTCGATCAGGTTTTTCCTTCTCCCTTTCCCAGGCGGCTCTTCCCACCCTTCTCACTTTCTTTTTCCCGGCTCTATCAGGCTTTTCCTCCCACACTCTCCCCCCCCCGAAATAACCAACTAATTAACCTCCATTTTCTTTATCCTCTGCTTTCATCCCTCCTTCCCCAATTATTTCTTTCGCTTCCCTCTCCTCTCCCTTCCCTCCAGCTCTCCCCTCCCTCTCTCCCCCGTCTCTCCCTACTTCATCCCCGCCCTATTCCCCCTCTCCTGTCCCCCTGTCCCCCACCACTCACCCTCTCCTAGGTGCCTCTCCGCCACCCTCAGCCCTTCCCGGCGCTCCTCATCCTCCTCCTGCCAGCCGGCCGAGGGGCGGGGGGACCGGGGGGACCCCGCCCGCTGCCCCCGCGCCTGCCGGGGCTGAGCTGCGAGCGGCGGCGGGGCCGTGCGGGCTCTGGGCTGCCGAGGCACAGCGAGAGGCAGCGATTTGCATTTCTGCCAGCCTCCCCCTCCGCCCGCTCGCCACCCCCTTCCTTCTCCCAGCCCACCACATGGATGGATGATGGATGGGTGGATCCATGGATGGCACAGATCCGATTCCATCCCCTCCCCAGATTTATCCCATTATATTCCCATCTCATTTCCCCCTCTCCTGGCTCCCTTTTCCCAGTGTTCATTTGGGAATTGATTGATGTGGCTGGAAATTAGTGATCACATCCCATCGGGATCATCAATGTCATTCCAGCAGAGCCATTCACGGCCCTAAAAACCCCCAGAAAATGGCATTTTCCTGGCAGAGAAGGGAAATTTAAGACAGTGGGGTTTTTGCAGTATTTTTAGACACCTTTTTCCAAGATTTGGGGGTTTTGGGAGCTGTTCTGCCCCTCTGGAAGTGCCAGTCCTGTGTTTTGGGATGGATGAGCTTTGGGGCAGGATCGGAGCAGGGAAAAGCTGATCCTGATCCCACAGCCTGGGCCTCTGGGAATAACGTCCTGGGTCGTTTGGGATCACTGCGGGATTTAGAACAACATCCTGATCCTTTGGGATCGCTCCCCCTCCCACCCTTCTCCCTCCTTTCCATCCCCTCTCTCCCACCCCTCTCTTCCCTCCCACTGCTACCCTCCCTGGGATGGTCGAGATGGGCAGGAGGGGACAGAGACCCTTGGGGATGTCCCCAACCCTCCCTGGGATGTCCTCAGTTCTCCCTGTCATGGTCCAGGGGGGGCAGGAGGGGACAGGGACCCTCCCTGGGATGTCCCCAACCCTCCCTGGGGACTGGAATGGTCCAGGGTGGACAGGAGGGACCCACGAGTGTTGGCATTGGGGACCCCATGGGACAGACCCCACGGGAACCGCGCTGTCCCCTCATGTTGGGAACCTGTGTGATGGACCCCATGGCCACTGCTCTGTCACCTCGCACCAGGGATCCTGCAGGATGGACCCTGCGACCACCATGCTGTCCCCTCACACCGGGGACCCCAAGGGGATGGAGCCCGCAGCCATCGTGCTGTCCCCTCATGCCGGGGACTCCACAGGACAGACCCTGTGGCCACCACACTTTCCCCTCGTGTTGGGGACCCCGTGGGACAGACCCCACAGCCACCACGCTGTCCCCTCACCCACGGGGACGGAGCCCACAGCCACCACGTTGTCCCCTCATGTTGGAGACTCCGCAGGATGGACCCCACTGCCACCATGGTGTCCCCTCACATCAGGGACCCCATGGGGACAGACCCCACCGTGCTGACCCCTGGCATTGGGGACCCCGCAGGATGAACCCCACACCCACCGCGCTGTCCCCAGGCTCTGGGGACAGGGGACACTCACGTGCATGAGGAAGAGCTGCATCTCCAGCTCGGCGATGCGGCGGCCCAGGCACTGGCGGGGCCCGAAGCCGAAGCCGAGCCCCAGGAAGGGCTTGGGGCCGGCGGCCAGCCAGCGCTGCGGGCGGAAGCGCTCGGGCCGCGGGAACACGGCGGGGTCGCGGCCCATGGCGTACAGCCCCACCTGCACCAGCGTCTGCCGGGAGCAGCGGGGGACGGGGGCCTCGTGTCACCGTGTCATCCTGCATCCCCATGTCCTCGTGTCCCCGTATCCTCGTGTCCTCATGTCCCCATGTTCCCATGTCCTCGTGTCCTTGTATAATCATGTCCTCGTGTCCTTGTGTCCCTGTGTCCTCATGTCCTCATGTCCCTGCCTCTCTGCATCCCCATCTCCCCACATCCCCACCTCCACATGTCCCTGTGTCCAAGTGACCCCCTGTCCCCATATCCCCATGTCCCTGTGTCCCCATACCCCTGTCGCCATGTGCCTGTGTCCATGTCCCCACATCCCCATGTCCCCTTCTCCCCTGTCCCCCCCTTCCCCATTTCCCCATGTCCCCATGTCCCCCCATCCCCATGTCCCCACAACCCCACATCCCCATTCCCTGTGTCCCCATGTCTCCACATCCCCATATGCCATGTCCCCACTGTCCCCGTGTCCCCCTCTCCCTGCATCCCCGAGTCCCGCTGTCCCCTCACCCCGGGCGGGATGCGGTAGTCCTGCAGGATGACCTCGTGCGTGGTGTACCTCTGCAGGGTCACGGCCACCGGGTGCAGCCTGCACGACACGTGCCACCGGGGGCTTTGGGGACACTCCAGGGAGGGCGGTGTGACCTCCTCCCCTGAGCGGCCCCTCCTCACCGGACCCCCTCCTCCTCCTCCTCACCTGAGCAGCCCCTCCTCCTCACCTGAGCTCCTCCTCCTCACCTGAGTGTCTCCTTGATGGCGGCTTTGAGCAGCCGTGTGGATTTCAGCATCTTCTCGCGGTCGCCGCCCGCCTCGCGCTTGGCTGCCAGGACCTCTGCCCGCAGCTGCTCCTGCACGCCCGGGGCCCGCGCCAGCTCCAGCATGGCCCACTGCAGGGTCATGGACGTCTGGGGACAGACACAGTGCACACGGCTGCCAGGACCTGCTCAGCCCTGCCAGGACCTGCTCAGAGCTGCCAGGACCTGCTCAACCCTGCCAGGACCTGCTCAGTGCTGTCAGGACCTGCTTAGAGCTGTCAGGACCTGCTCAGCCCTGCCAGGACCTGCTAGGTGCTGCCAGGACCTGCTCAGCCATGCCAGGATCTGCTCTGTGATGCCAGGACCTTCTCCTACTGACTTGGCACTGCCCCACCCATCACCAACCAGGACCTTCTCCCTGTCCCACCCATCACCAACCAGAACCTTCTCCCTGCCCCATTCAGGACCTTCTCCCTGCGTGTCCCACCCATCACCAACCAGGACCTTCTCCCTGTCCCACCCATCACCTTCTCCCTGCGTGTCCCGTCCCCAGGCAGGCCGTGTCCCCAGGCCCGTACCGTGTCCACCCCTCCGGCCATCATCTCGGTGACGCTGGCGCGGATGTCGTCCAGGGGCAGCTTGTCGCGCAGGATGAGGTTGCCCAGGATGCCCATGTGCTCCTGGCTGCTCTTGCGCCGCAGCCGCAGGTCCCGGTACACGTTCTGGATGCACTGGTCCGCTGAGGGGACACAGGGACACCCCGGGGACACATCAATGTCATCGCCTTGGGAACGGCTTCATCGCAGAGGTGAAACCTCCCAGAGGTGCCCTCGTGTGGGAAATGGATTTGTAGGAAATTTTAATATTTACACGTAAATTTTGAGGTAAGAAATGTTGATTTAGACACATTGTGGAAGAGGATGGATAATGCTGAGAGAGAAATTGGATCAGGGATTGGAGGAGGTTTTGTAAGAAAGGCTGGATCAGAAGTTTTAGGGGATGGTTTTGTAAGAAAGGTTGGGTGTTTTGGAGAAATGGAACGATGGAGGATGGCTGCAGCGGGATTTATGGGGGTGGTTTGTATGGTTGGTTTTGAGGTGTCTGCGGGGTGCTGTGGGAAAGGCTGAGAGGAGAAGAAATGGTCATGGGGTGACACAGAGGTGACAGGGTGAAGTGTCCCCAGAGGTGACAGGGTGAGATGGCAGGGCGAGGTATCCCCAGAGGTGGCAGGGTGAGGTGACAGGGTGAGGTGGCAGGGCAAGGTGTCCCCAGAGGTGGCAGGGTGAGGTAGCAGGGCGAGGTAGTAGGGTGAGGTGACAGGACGAGGTGGCAGCGTGAAGTGTCCCCAGGGATGGCAGGGAGAGTTGACGGGGTGAGGTGACAGGGCAGGGTGGCAGGGTGAGGCATCCCCAGAGGTGTCAGGGTGAGGTGACAGGGGGAGGTGACGGGGTGGCACTGACCCTGGTAGAAGATGGCGTCCCAGGCCTGCACGTGCTCGCGCCAGGTGCGGCTGCGCAGGCGCTGCAGCAGCGCGGGCGGCAGGTACAGCATGGGCGCCGTGGTGTGGAACATGCGCGACACGGCCTCGATGAAGCGCTGCGCCTCGGGCTGCACGAAATCCTGCAGCAAGCCCAGGCGCTCCCCGTACAGCACGTGGCACACCGCTGGGGACAGGACAGGACAGGGACAGGGACAGTCAAGGACATGTCCCCATGGCCACAGGGACCAGCCCCAGGTGCTCCCCATACAACATGTGGCACACTGCTGGGGACGGGACAGGGACAGGGATGGGGACATGTCATTGTCCCTGCCCCCATGGCCATGGCCACAGGGACCAGCCCCAGGCACTCCCTGTACAGCACGTGTCACACTGCTGGGGACAGGACAGGGACAGTCAGGGACGTGTCATTGTCATTGTCCTTATCCCCATGGCCACTGGGACCTCCCTGTACAGCACATGGCACACTGCTG